GGAAGCACACTCAGCGCACCCCTTTTTCTCTCACCTCCGTGCAGTCCAGGAAAGGTTTTTATTGACTGATTTTGCTAATTTGCTAGAAGTTTTCCCAAGCAGCCACTGGACACTCCTCTAATGGATCTATTTTAGGATGCATGGTGCTTGAACTACATTTAACTTGAAAGGAGGTGAGCCTGAATTTAAGATGACCCCTTTCCACAAAAGATTAAAGAGAAGTAACTCTTCTCTCTCTCTCACACTCTGCTCAGCCACTATATGAAGGCCCCCCTAAGGATTAATTATTTTGGAAATATCTAGTCTTCCTTTTAAGCAAGTAGAGTATTGGCAAAACCCCTTTTCTGCTTCTTCATGGGAGGCATGCTTGTTTTAAAATGCAGACTTAGGAAATGCTCAGATGACTTGAGCATTAAGCATGATCAGACACCACTTTCTGTTTCCCATTCACAGTACTGTATTAAAAGTCGCCTGTGCACAGCTCGTTCAAGTACAGCTCATGATGTGAAAACGTGGCCTTTTCCTCTAATCCAGAAGGGTAGCATATTGGGAATGTCTAATTTCTCTAAAGTTGCCTAGGGCAAAATTGGCCAACAATGTGTGATGTGTAAGGGGTGGGTTTCTGGGGAGGGTGGGGGGAAAAGATGGTTAGGGATTTTAATCAACCCAGCACTCTGTTAGTTGAAATCACTGAGGATTAAAATGGGTGAAACCGAAATATGCGAATCACACAGAAAAACCCACACTACTAGTGTTGTCAAATGTTACTTTGTTTTTTGTTGTTGTTTGTAATATATTTGGTTTTTTTCTAATTTAAATTCTCACTATTTCCTGACTGTGAACTGCAAACAGTGTTAACTTGATGTAAGTAAGGCCCTTGGAGGCATTGCCTCTGCCTGTTCCACAGAGATTTTTGCCAATTTGCATTTTGTTTTAAATAAAAGTTGCAATATTTTATTGGCAATTAAATTTCAGGACATGTTACTTTCTTCTAGGCCACAGTGACTGGGTGAATAATATGATGAAATTCAAAGAAAAACATACAGGTATATACCCAAAAGATTGAAAGGCGAGCTGGTCTGGCAGTTCACACTTATATGTATGATGGCTTGCACATGTAAAAACTGCCACAAATCATTTATTATAGGTCAGAAATCAAGGAACAACTCAATCACAGTAGTTCTCTGTGGAAATCATCTACAGTTTGCTGGCATCCAAATGCTGAAATGTGATACAGAAATGGAAATGGCTCTGCAGAAGCTGCCAACACAAGACAGGTTCATATACCCAGAGTAACAGTAGGCAACCTATAAGACACATTTCATTCCTGAACCTCTTTTTTCATGGCACCAGACCCCGCCCAAAGATTACACTATGAAATTTTGAGGAAAACAGCCACTAATAGTAGTTGTTTCCCCCATCGTTTTTTGGCAGGAAACAGCCAAAAAGAAACTGATACATTGAGACTCGGATAGGTTTAATACAGTGAAAAAGTGAGACCTTCCCTCCCTCCCCCCTCCCAAAAAATGGGTAAGAAAGTCCCTATATTATTAGTGACAGGCAAGCTAGGATGTCTCATCATTGGTTATTCCAATCACTTCAGCAGCAAGGATAGCGTTAATGATCCCGAAATTTATAAGAGTGCTCAGATGCTTCAAAGCACTATACAAATGGGATGATGTTTTGGGAAATAATCTAGATAATGGGAAGTAGAGATGGACTGGATGGGACTCCAGTGCCTGTTTGATACAGCCCATAAAAGTAGATAGTCTTTCCCCCATTACATTTTTGCATCAGTCTATCTTAGATGTTGTTGATACACACAACCGTATACCACTACTGCTGTCCTGTTTATATAATTATAAGGTCAAAGTCTTATCTTTGACCTTGAGTTACATTAATTACCTTCCAATGTGTGTCCAAAAGTTAACAAGCTCATGCTGCCTTTTTTAACTTTGACCACCCCCAACTCCTAATATACTATTGTACTATTCCATTTGTGCTATCATTTTTTTTTAATTATTATTTTACAGAGAAGACTTCTCTCGAGAGTGCTGCTTACCTATCGTGCTTGTAGCTTGCTCAAGCTACAAGCATAATAGGTTCATCAAGCAAGCTCAGAACAGGGCACATGGTATTGTGTATTTTTGTAAAACACTAATGCGAAGAAAGTAGGTCTGAAAGATCAGGGTTCCCTGTTTCATGGCAAAATTTGAATCTAGGAATCTCTAACCTGTCTTAAACATACCATCACATTAATCAAACTCTGACATAATTCTCCCTCAGGTTATACAGTCTACATTGATACAACTTCACCAGCTTTTAAAATCGCCTTTGTGAATAAGTTTCATTTGATATTTTCAATAATAAAACAATGTTGGTTTCACAAGTCCAGCAGTTCAGCAGCTGCTCATATAGCCAGGTCTACAGTAGTAATGTATCTTCTCTTTCCAATAGTGGCTATTTTGAAAGGATACTTCAGAGTTACAAGGCAGCGTGTACACATTTTGTTCTGTACTGTATGTCTTCTCTCTTTTCTCGCCCCCAGTCACAGGTTATAAATGTTTTTATCATTTTGCAAGCTAACCTAGGCAAGTACAATCTTACTGACTTTTGGTTAGCAAACAAAATGTCAACATTGGTGTAATACCTTTTTGGTTCGGCTCCAAGCTCTCTGTAAAGCCTTTGTAACAAACCACTCCAATCATTAGATGAAGGGCTCAGTTCTATGTACATGTAGCCATAGAATGTACAGGAGAGGAAATGGGGTATGACAACCTGGCACGCACAACTGCTTCCTTATTTGCAGATCATAAATTATTCCCTATCTTGGACTACAGGTAGTCCTCATTTAGAGACCACAGTTGGGACAGGCAACTCAGTCACTAAGTGATGCAGTCGCTAAGTGGAAAATCATGTGACTATGATTTTACTTCAGCTTTCCTTTTTCCCCACTCCTCCACCCTTTGGAATGCTCACCCCTGGGCTGGGATAATTAGCAAGAAGGGAATTAATGTTTGTATTTACATTCATTGGAGAGGAAGAAATTACAAGAAACCAAAGCAGGCACACAATGAGGGATACACAGCAAAAGGAATACGCTGGCACTAGTTGTTTGCCTAGCTTGCTCCTGGCTCCCAACAGCTTAGGAGACAAAACAAAAGCCAAAGGCATGAAAATGATTTAAGTCTTATCAATTACAGGCAACAGCTGCCAGTTGGCTCATTAGGGGTAAAGAGCTGACCTTGTTAATTTGCTGTTGGTATCTCTTGGGGAAGCGCTGTGGAGATAGGCAGCTCAGGAAGAGATTGCTTGTTTGCAAGGGGGGGAGGGTCAGGCACAGGATGTGTACTGACTGCAGTGGCAAACACATGACAGATGCTGTGAAGGTCATAATTGCAGGCATTGGTGCAAAGTTACTTTTTCATCATAATTTCAAATGGTCACTGCCCGAGACAGTCGCTAAGTGAGGTCTACCTGTATTTTGCAATTGTGAAGAATTACTCTTAAAATTTGTGAACAAAAGACCCATTTGCTCAATCATTTGCCCCAAAATCTATAATCTAAAATTTCTATTTCTCCTAAATTAAAATCCTGGAAATGGAGGATTGTATCAGGGCTAGACACTGGGGACATCTTTGTTGGCTCAAAGTCAGTTCTTCCACATATGGGTTAGTTTTGCACAACATCTGTGTATCTTTCAAAACTTAAATTGTGTGTTCAGTCAGGTCTGTGTACATACATAGCCCTTATACACTCAGTATATCTGGCCAGGCTAAATCTGTGTTACATTTACTCTGACAAAGCAGGTGTCCTGATATGAATGCTTAAATATCCCACAAAAGCCACACTCCATTTTCACATTTTAATTTACAAAGACAACAAAAGTGCAATACCAGCAAGTAATGGCTTACGCAAGGAGTGCTGATCTCATAGGACTGGAACCTCATTGCTCAATTTCAGTGCTGGACTGGAAGTATGTCATTTGTGCTATTGTAAAAGTTATCATTAAAAGAATGGCACATATTTGTCTTGATATATAGACTCTGAAAAGTGCAAATAGCTGCATTTTGTCAGCACAAGTACATGTAATAATGTCCCCATTTAAAAGATTAATATAAATATATATAATACAGACACCATGCCTCTAACAAGGGGCAAAACCTTTCCTTTATACGTTATTTCAACACAAGAATTGTAGAAGATGTAGATTACTGAATTGCAAGTAAATGTGATAGTTCCCTATCCAGCTACGCACTAGGAATGCAGACTAGGAAGTTGCTAGATTCAAGTAATTATCAAACATCTCAGACTTGGAAATAAAATTAAGTCTGTCTCGCATCTTGCAGATGGGGCCTTCTCCCCATGATGTCTAAAAACCCACTCAATATAGTGGATAAGAATATGTGGCCCCAAAGCATCATTTGTATCCAATATTGGAAAAATACTCTGAATATATTACTATTTCAGCAGCACCACTCATGTAGATTCCAGCTCCATAATGAAGCTTTCTTACCTTTTTCAGCCTGGCAACCCCAATAATATAGGGAATGTAGGGAATATTACACTAGTTAAAGTGCAATAAATACAACAAAGTATATGGCCCTCATACAAGAGAAAAGAGAATAAACTCAGTTGCAGTCTTCTCCACCTTCCCCTGTCAAAGAAGGAAGTCGTTTATACGCTGGGAGACTGATTTGCAACCTTGGGCAGAAAATAATTTCTCCTCCTTGGGAACAAACACCATCGTCCTTGCAACCTTATCTAGCACCTCTTCAGTGAACTGTAGACCTCGAGCAAGAAACGCATCCCGAGCACAGAGCTTCACATGGTGATATTCCAAGGGCAGGAAAGGTACCAGAAAGTCTATGAGGTTCTCCTGAAGAAGACAGTTGTGGGCATCTGGGGGAAAAAAAATGCATAATTTGTCTGCTATCTCTTGCTTCTTAATATTGGCTTGGGCAAAGAATAATTGGTTACTTGGCTTTTCTGGGAAGACTGAAAATAGCTGCTTTATATAGTATCTTCGGCATACAAGGCCTATTTTAAGATAACATCAACACACAGAAAAATCTGTGTTACAATACATTTGCAATTTAAATACAGCAGGAAAAGGCAATTTGATGAAGAGGAAAAGAAAGTACGCTAATGACAACAAAGGGTTATACTGGTAAATGTAGTTATCTTTGCTGTAGATTTAGAGTTGCTTTATATAATAATACAACAATACTGTATCATGTTAAAATGAACAAAATGATAGCATACATTTGTGAACTTGAGTCCATTTCATCCAATGGAAAGAAATGTTATCCTGAACAGCAATTATAGAGAATAAAGACAGGCTAGATGGAAATGAAATTAGCAGTAGTTGTGAGATTTTAGAACTAAATGACTGTGTTCACATGACACAGCTGAGCAAGCCAGCCATTCCTTTGTAAGCAATGCACTAATAATTCAGAGTTTTGCCTTAAACAAAAGAGAAATTTTGACAATCCCACCCACTCTCCTAAAGTTCCTGCTCCCCCCTCCCTCCACTGGACAAAAGCAAACTGAAAATTCCCTGGTGGACTAATCAGGGTTGGACCCACTACAGCAGAAGCTGGGAAAGGGCTTGGTCCACCCCTTTCTTTCCATTTTACACCTCTTATCTTGGAGAGTAAAACACACACAAAAAATGGAAATGGAGTATCTAGGCCAATTCTGTTTTCCTGGGATATTCTGGGACTTCATCCCATTCCTACAGCCAGTTGAGAGAGTTAATCTTGTTCTCTCATCTCAGTTTGGATGACCTGACTAGCTAGGGACGAAAGTTTCTCTGCTGACTAGGTGTACCTGTTCATAAAAATCCACTTTTCCCTTCTTTGATTCAGCTTAGCTAAGTCATGAAAATGGGGCCTATCTGTACATTTACTAAGCTACAATGAAGGTATCACCAGAACTGTTTACAAATGGCTATTTTTAATTTTTCTGCATTTCATTTCCCTCTGACCTCAAGGTTTAGATCTCTTTCCTACTGTCATCTCTGTTTACATTTGCAAGAGTAGGTGAATGGGAATCTAGTTCAAAAAAGCTTATGTCATCATACATAACTTTAAGATGCTGTAATGTTTTCCTTTAGACTAATATGCTTACCTTTCCAAAAAGTCATGCCTTAGTATTTTTTGAAATACCTATTAATCTGCAGGTGAGAAGGACAATTTCATACATTTTAAGGAAAAATAAAACCTGGCTTGCCACAGTATGTGTTAACAGATCCCTCCAATTATTGCTTTTGGTCATATTATTTACTCATAGCATTTTTCAGTGATGTTTTCAAAGGTACACTAAATCATTACAATGGAAGAGGTGAAAACAAACATTGTGTGTTTTTTAAAAGCATTGATATTATTTGTGTATGGGAAAATGTAACCTTTCATTTGGTAGAACCTGCCTTCAAATAATATCTTACAAAAGACAAAAAACTCACTACTGCCCAAGTTAGGACTGCAGTGGTGGGTAGAGCCTTAGGAGCAAACAGCAACTCACCTGGGGCATCCAGCAGGTCTTTCCGCAGGTATTGTTCCAAATATTCCATGGTGATTTCCTCTCTTGCTTGACCAGCTTGCCAGAAATCCAGGGCCACCTTATTGATGATGTTGCCACCACCGTTACTAAGTACAGAAAAAGAACATTAATTCTTTGTCTGACCAACAGAATTTAGCAGTCTCAGCAAAATATAACCTTCATGCACAAGCTGTCTTGTTCTGCATTCATCACAGTATCACAGGGCAAAGCTGTTATTCATTGTACAAGGAAGTTCTGAGGGTGAAAGTTTTTCATTTCTACTGAAGATTACTCAGACACACCAAAATTGGCTTGAATTCACTATATTTCCCAAAATGGCTTATGGTGGAACGTAGGGATGAATAGCCTTTCTGCAATCATGCATGCACTTTATCCTGTTTTCTGGAATGAGATAGTGATGTCATGAAATCACATGTGGAATGTAATTTCTTTAACCATTTCTCTTTTTTTCCCCACCCTTTTGGGGGATTTTTATTGTTATAATTATTATGGAATAGGTAGACTGAGAAAAATAATTGCTTGTTTTAGGACCTCCTAATGCATTAAAACATTCATGCTTGCCGTATTCCTTCTGAAGAGGATTTGGTTTAGGGATAGGTGAGATTTTAATTAAGGTTCAAAACAACTTCTTGGATGTAAGGCAAAGATAAATATGGCTTTTTGTTGAGCAAAACTCATCTTGACTTCATGAACACAGTCACGGAGTTTTCTTCACTGTAGTATGGAAACAGTTTGCTGATACTTTCTTCTGGGAAGTTTTATTTCTCAATCCAACTTAAAGTCCGGGTAGCTTCCCAAGCAAGTTCTTAACCATGACTGACCCTGCTTAGCCCCAATAAATTCAGCAAGAACCTGTCACCTACCAATTAGATTTAAATAGATATATTTAAATCTAGTTGGAAAAAAGCAATTTTGGGAGTGATATTTATTTTATTTATTTAACAAATTTATATGGCCGCCTAACTCACACACAGTGACTCCAAGCAGCTTACGAAGTAAAATCCCCAATACAAAACCCAAAAACACCCAGCCCCCATGGTGGCCAAAAACACAATCAACACAACCACTTGATTGGCTTCCTTTCAGCGGGGGGTCCCTGGCCCGCTGGCAGAACCACATCTTCAGGGCCTTCCAGAACAACAAGGTGGGGGCCAATTCCACAGGGAGGGGGCCACCACGGAAAAGGCCCTTCTTCATGGTCCGATCAGATGTAGTTCCCTCAACGATGGAACCTGCAACATACCCAACCTTCCCACTCTGGTGGTCTAAGTAGATGCAAATGGGGAAAGGTGGTCTTGCAAATAACCAGGCCCCGAACCATGTAGGGCTTTAAAGGTGAGAATCAGCACCTTGAATTGGACCCGGAAGCAGATTGACAACCAATACAAAAGAGGTGAAACATGCGCAAATCCGGACTTGCAGAGAACTATGCAGGCCACTGCATTTTGAACCAATTGAAGCTATAAGTTATAACACTTTTTTCCTGAATTTCATTCCTAGTGCTAGGAACTCATGAATATTTTATAGTAAATGTTATATATTGTATCACTGGTGAGTTGGTTAGAGACAGAGGTATTCCTAACAACAGGAGACTTCCTCTCCCCTCTCTAAAGGGCATCCTTGAATATCAGCAACACTGTAGGTAGCAAAGTTGGGACGAAAGGATCCTCTCCTGTATATTTCTGTACTTCACACTATACAGAGTGAGTAAAAGCTGAGAAACAACCCTTACTACTGCTTTTGCAAAGATAAGATTTTAGGCTAGGCCAAAAGAAAGTGCAACTCAGGATCTGTTGATGGAAGTGGCAAGAAAGTTCTAGGAAGAGATTTTAAATAAACTTGTGGAAGTCTTGAGATGTTTCTAGATTTTTCTACCACAATTTTTTACCCTGGACTACTACTTCCCAAGCTCAGTCTTTTAATACTCTGAAAAGTCTCTAGAAAAATATGACTCATTATTTGTTTCTTACTCTCAAAACAAAAATTACCTCAGAAATAAGAAGATGGACCGCCGGTAATCGATCTTGTCAGTGTTGCCATAGTGATCCACATATGGTTTAAGGGCGTTGAGGAGATCAGAGTGAAGCTTCTCTGCCTCATCAAAGATGAACAAGGATTGTTCACAGAACTGGACTGTCTCACTGATTTGGTTTGCTAGCTGGACCTGAGTAACCAGGGAAAATTGGCATGAATAATGAATAAACTGGCATGAATAAAATTGCCATAACCGGGGATTTATTTACAGTATGTCCTTATATCCCATTTTTTAGGTTTAATGCTTGTGACAGGGCCTTAATAACTTTTAAAAGCAAGCTGCAAAACAACAAATAAAAAATGAAGTCAATATGAAATTATCAACAAAATCTAAACAGATTTTTTGTTTAAAAAATCCCTGTTTATATGCTACCAGTAAGGGAACCAGAAATATCTTCTGAGGGACAGTGATCTAAAGATCTGGGATTCCCACTGAAAAAGCTTTTATAACTGTTTGACGTGGCCCCCTCAGATGACTCATCCTTGGAGGAGGAAGAAAACCAGGGAGATTCTGGAAGCCGCTGAACCTGTGGTTCAAAGCCACAGCACAGGCCACAAGAAATGACTCCCACAAGCCTAGGATTGCATTCAGATTCCAGTCTGGATTCTTTGGTACCATCTTGGAGCTCAAGGAAAGACAACATCAGTACTGAACTGAATTCAAAAGGCTGACAAGCTTAGAAGCGCTCATTTAAAAAAAGAACTCAGTGGGAGTGATAGTTTACTTGGAGTTGCTATTCCCCTGAAGGCTAGAAACATGTTACCCCTTTGTTGTTGTTATTATTATTATTAAATTTATATGCTGCCCAACTCTGGGTGGTATTAATTAATAGGGGCCCATGATTCAGCTTGCTCACCCAGACTTTTAAACTTTGACCTGTCTTTGACTATCCTTTAGATCAATGATATTGTCCTTACTATTTTGTATCCCGAGCCAAAGTTGGAGTATCCTTGTTGACCCCCCTCTTTTGTAAATATCCCATGTGCTTTGACTTAGTCTTGTCAGGCTGCGCTATTTTGTTTGGACAGGCCACTGCCAATATGCCTGTTCCTAGAGGGAGGCAACAGAGCAGGATTACTGAAGCAGATATTTGGATATAGGCAGATTCATATAAACATAAGCTGACTTTTAAGTTACTTAGCCAATCCAGTGATTTTTAAAAGCAGTAGTCCATAATGACCCAGGAAATGAACAGACAATCAAGGCAAGTTGTATGGATATGTGGTGTGCTCCAAATTTCACTGATGTTGGGTTCCCTAAACATCCAGGAATTCTGAAGTTCCTTGTTTTGCACATCTGTTTTTCCATTAAGCTTGTGCAATACAGATGTCATATCAGCCCAAACCTTTTGTGGCAGTGGCTCTCCAGAATTTCAAGCAGAAGATTTTCCCAAGATGTAAGAATTGATCCATGGACCTTCTGCATATAAAGCATGTGCCTAACTTCCAAGCAACAGCCCCTCCCTAAAACTGCACCATACTTAACTCCCTCCTCCCCCCCACCACACGCACAAATATCCTCTCACCTTGTAAAGGTCCATATATTTGGGATCAGGAAAATGAAATACTGAGATGAAAATTTTGACACAGTCACTTTTTACGCCATCTCGATAAAGATGTTCTGCCATTAAACGAGCTACAAAGTTCTTGCCGGTGCCAGACCAGCCATGGAAAGAAAGAGTTAGTGCTTTCTCTGGCTGTGGTGTTTCCAGGAAACCCTGAACTGCTTTCAGGACAATTTCTTTTGCCAAATGTTGGCCATGGAGTCGTTTGTTCAGATCTAGTTCCAGGCCTGTGGGAAAGAAAAAGGATGCATCTCTTGCATGTCACTTAGAAACTGCAGAAGACTTATGTTGCTAGAAATTAGAATTCTCAAGCTCAAATTAGAATTCTCCTAAGCTCAAATTGTCAAGTACAGTGGGGCAAAAAAGTATTTAGTCAGCCACCAATTGTCCAAGTTCTCCCACTTAAAAAGATGAGAGAGGCCTGTAATTTTCATCATAGGTATACCTCAACTATGAGAGACAAAATGGGGAAAAAAATCCAGAAAATCACATTGTCTGATTTTTAAAGAATTTATTTGCAAATCAAAATGGAAGACATACAAGACCACTGATAATCTCCCTTGATCTGGGGCTCCATGCAAGATCTCACCCTGTGGGGTCAACATGATCACATTCTACTTTGGTTTCATCTGACCATATGACATTCTCCCAATCCTCTTCTGGATTATCCAAATGCTCTCTAGCAAACTTCAAACGGGCCCAGACATGTACTGGCTTAAGCAGGGGCACATGTCTGGCACTGCAGTATTTGAGTCCCTGGTGGCATAGTGTGTTACTGATGGTAGCCTTTTTACTTTGGTCCCAGCTCTCTGCAGGTCATTCACTAGGTCCCCCTGTGTGGTTCTGGG